GATGAAAGTTGACCTCTGATGTGCTAATAATGTTTGTAGTTTTACACTTTAAGTGAGATTTAGTTAACCACACTGTCTGTTTCCTCAAAAGATTGTCATATTTTGCTCTAATTTAAATCATTGACCTTAGGTTACAAATTGTTATCTTTCAGGCACAGACCAAGCTGTTGTTGTCTTCACCAAGCCATATGAAGTGGTGATACAGAAGCTAATAATGCAGCCCAGTTGAGCATCTTGCTCTTAGAACATGTTGGTTTTGACACAGAACTGCGTTTGGTGCTGAGGCTTCAGCAATACCTGTTTCCTAGCATGGATATTTGGGTTTAGTCCTGAAAAAAAAATAAATCTGGTAGTAGGGGTGCATTGATGCTAGGTTGCCTCATGTTTTGATGTGTGTTTGCTCAAGCCTGAATCTCATTAGGGCTAAATGGCCAATAGGAAAATATTATTTAGGCACATACAGCCCTCCCCAAAAGATCAGTGTTGTTAATCCAACAGATATGGGACTCAGCCATACTTTTTCTTTAAAGCCAAGTATAAAAGCCAGTAGAATTTATACAGCATTATTCGTTTTTTAAACATATTTAACATTTAATTATGAATAGATTTCTGCATGAAAAGAGGCAATAAATGGAGATTCGCATCTTGTGGAATTGCTGTAAAATTATACTGGGGCACAGAAGGTGGAGTTGATCAAGTGGGATTTGTGCAGCGCTAGCCACCATTTGAGAAATACAGAAATATGGAACATCAGAAACACTTAATGTAACACAAAATCTGTTTTAGTATAGAGGGAGGTTAGAATGAGAGATTTCTTTTGAACCTAGGTAATAAAATTATTTGTAGAATGCTACCTCAGCAATTATGTATTGTATTTCTTACCTCTGCTGCACAATTTTGTGGCACTTGGTTTAGTGGTGGACTTGGCAGTGTTAGGTTTACGTTTGGACTTGATGATCTTCAGGGTCTTTTCCAACCTAAATGATTGTATGAAGATTATCACAAACTTGTATGATAGACAGAGGCAGATCAAGTAAAGAGTGGGACACTGATTCCCAAAGTATGCTATTATGGCACACTACCATAACTGGGATGCTGATAGACTATCTTGCTCTGGAAACTAAAATTAAAAAAATACTGATTTTTAGTGAGATCTGGGTTCTGCATTGCTCTGAGTTAGGGAATAGCTACAACATTGCTCCAAAGATCAGTAGACAATAGTGGTTTAACTCTGGATAAATCGCTTTCTAAATGTTCCTCTATTGCTGTAGTAGAATTCATTTAAAACCTTACAAAAATAGTTTAAAACTGTGAATCATACATGTACATACACACAGTAAATGGCTGTACAAGGGAAAAAGAGCAGATTGAGGATTCACTGCACCTTCTACTCTTGTCCCATTGGCTCATTACATGACTTAAAGCAAAAGTCCATGTGTAAAAATAAAGTGTAATGTAGTCAATACTATATATCAAATACAGATTTTAGATAATAATTTGTTTCCACAGAAAGATAACAAAGAGAATATTAAATGGCACATAAAGAATACTTTCTTTTTCAACCAAAAAACATGTGGCATGGGATAAAGTGGGTTTTTTCCTTCAAAACATAAATGTTTAAGCTTTACAAATACCCTAGTTGTTCCTGAAGACCTTTGTTTCCAGCATTACACTGCTGAAGAAACAGACTTAAAGGTGTCAGCCTGTAAGGTAAACATACTCAGTTGGATTCTGAGTTATGTCACATGAAAGTAAATGCTGAGTAGTTCTTTCAAAGTAAGTTATATACTGTTCTGTATTCGTTGTTTTTTTGATATTTTACGAGTCTGTATTTTACCTGTGCAACTGATACTTCTGAAAAGTAAGAGGAAATTTGCATCAGTTTTACATATACAAGAACGAATCTTGGCACACAGAGCTAGTCAATTTAACAATAATTTAATAATTTATGTTATTTAGCGGACTGGTGTTTGTTTGTTTATTTGGCCAGATTTAAAGCAGTGGAGGGTGCTCGGTTTCCCCATAGTTGACATTGTCTTTATATACACTGCAATCATTTAAGTAAATGTGGCAGTCAGAACACCCATTTGTGTATCTTCTATTTGTCTGACGCTTTGTTTGGTGGATACTATGGATACTAAACAAATCCCTAAGGGGACATAGTATAGATTCACTGATTATGCTCATACGTTTAAATTGTAATGACTGTGTTTGTTTCTTTATATTGTTTTTAAAAGCTTCTCGAAATGAAACTTGAGGTGAAATTAATCTAACGTGTAGCACATTAAAACCAAAAGGTGTTTCTGTAGGGATTTTCCCTTTGTGAACTGTTTGTCTTTCTGACTCAGCAATTCCAGTTCACCAGATAGGAAGTCTTTTATGAATGTTGTGATATGGCGCTTTCCTTAGTCAAATTTCAGACCATTCAGGCTTTGAGCATAGTATATAATGACACTGGTAGTGTTTACAGTATTCTATTAAAAACATGCAAAAGTACATAAAGAACATCAACTTAACCATGTGGCAAACCCGCAGCATCTGCAGGCAATGGGTTCCTCTTCTCCTTGTGCCTAAAGGTTCTGGAGTTTTCGTGTTGATTTTTGGTTCAGAAGAAGTCTCAAAAAAATGCAACTTTGGGACAAAAACTCTCTCAAAACCATGGCTATCTGACACAGCTTCATCTGCCTACGTGACAGGTTTATCTTTCATCCTTGTATTCAGGTTTTGAGCATACATCAATTTATACAGTGCTGCTCTTGCCCAATCAAGCAGCAGAGAGAAAGGAAAGGACAAAAAATAGGATGCATTTCTTTTTAGATAGCGTTACTCAATTCTCGATTACATTGCATTGGCAGACAGTTTTGTCTTATCTGTTGAAGCCTGAGAGGTGCATGTTGGTACCAGAAAAGTTAAATTTCTTGAAGAAATTTTTCATTGACTTAAGGCTTGCCACCATGCTTTAAAAATACAGGAAAGTATAAATCCTTGTTATATTTTCATGTTGGTGACACTTGTCTTACAGGGTAAAATATTTTAGTTAATTGAAATGCATTAACAAATATATTGTCCAATATATAAAAATGAAACTCATCAAAGCAACTTAAATTACTTTTCTAGAATGATAATTGATTGAAAATGTGTATGCGACATTCAGTTTATGACAGATTAACATGGTTTGTGACTTGAGGGTAAGAGTGCTTGGTGAAGTTAGCAGCAAACATTTTAGCAATGTGCGTAAGAACAGATAAACTGTAAGACCAGATCTCATAAATAGAACTGTAGTTATCTGGGCTAGCAGAAGGCTTAGTAGAAGAGAAATACAAACTAATTTCCAAAAATGTAATTGCTGCACTTAATTTCATTTTGTAGCCTTGTGATTGCTGGTTTTAAGTATCTGTAGGACTTGATCATGGTAATAGTAAAATTATTCTAAAACCAGAGAATGAGGCTGTTGGAAAACACAGCTACTCTGAATTCAGACTCTCTCAGCAGGGGCGTGTGGGGCCACTTAAGGGATTGACCTAAATTTTTGCAGTGGCTAGCAGACTTGTGGCAGTGGGTTTGATTGTTTAATACTTCTGGAATTTAATCATGTCAGTATTGGTAATCCACAGTATCTAGAATTTTCATAAGTTTTGCAAATAATCTGTGTTTGAATTCCTGAAGTTACATTGATGTTATTTATGGCCTTGATGCTACCACCATGTTTATGACTTCAGTGGATGATACTGTGGCCTGAGCTCAGCAAACCATACATGTAAATCACCCCGAATCAGAGCCTAAATGGAGCATCTTTGATAAATTTAGAAGTAGCTTACACCTGTGGAGGGACTCATAGGAACCTGGCTTGCTTAGCATTCTTTATGTACAGTCCTTCTTACAGAACGCCAAGTTCAAAATCAGTAGTGTGTGAACTGTTGTTCCACCTAAGAGCAGAGTAGCATATTTTCTTTGTAAGTGCAATAGAAGCAAATTATCTGTTTTTAGTAGCTTCTGCCTTGCCAGTTTACTTTGTCATGGCTCTTAAGCTGAATAACTTAAAACATTTTCCTTAGAAGAGTTTTTAGTATGCAGAAAATTGCAACACAGACTTAATCAGCTGAAGAATAATAAATTTTGCTTAAAAATAGACACTCCCAAGTGTATTCACTCAGATGGCTCTGTGTGTGTGTGCATGTGTCTGTGTGTAAAACCTGTCATGGGAGAAGAGGAAGACTGTATTCCATCACAATGGTCGTTCCTTTGTGATTTGAGACTGTTTTAGACAAAAGTTCCGATAAGATTCCCTGCTTTGACTCCTGAAGGAGCTGGAAAAACTATTTCCGTCCAGAAGTAATAATAACATGGGCTTTTGGCTTTGATCATAAACTGACATTTAAAAGTCATCTGAGGAAGGATATTTCTTGATTAAAGTCAGGTTTAGTTTAATGCAGTTGTAGCTGATCTTTCCCATCTAGTATCTCACTACTTGATGGGCTATCTTTCAGTCGCCCAGCTGCCCACTTTACAAGACCCCATAGGACTTTTCCAAGAGACCTTCCAGTGGATCATGTCATTCTGTTACCCTGCTTATCACTCGGCTTTTTTCCCCAGGGAAAACTTGAAAAGGTTGCACAGCAGAGAATATGAGGTGATAATCTGGTACCCACAGAGTGTGTTTGGAATTGTAGTTCTGTCAGGACTATTGCAGCTGGTGCATACTGTGTGCCTGGCTTTTCATTTACGTGTCAGATCCCCGCGTTTCACCTGTGGGATACAGACATTACATTTTATATGTGGAATATGAAAGGTAGATCGTGTGACTGCGTTTCCTGGGGTTTATTCCCTAAATTGTCAGTGTTTAACATTGCTGGCTTAATCCTGAGTGTTGTAGTTTTTGTTCCTGCTTCTGCCGCATGGTCACTGAGTCACCCATAGGTGAGATGGGCAGAAACCTCTCTGCGTGGGTCTAGGCGAGGTACTGCTTCATGCCACTGCTACAGCTTCCATTTTAGCACGTAATGCGCCTGAAGAGAGATGTAGGTGTTTGTGGTTTGGCTTTTTCTGTGTTTTGTGGATTGCTAAGATACGATCTTTCCTGCTAAGAAGCTGGATTTTATCCCAAATCCTGCACATTTCACAGAAGATCAGATTCTCACAACATTCAGATGGATTGCCAAAACCCTGGCTTTTATCTAAGGCACAGAATAACTGCTCCCTGTGTGCAGAACTCACCAGCACACTCTCTCCCAGGTACAAGGAAGCTTTTAGACAACGGAAAATTGTACACTTTGAGATTTCCTTGGGATACCTCTGGTTTCTGTACAACATGAAATACCACAACTACATGAGGGTAAATGCATCGATTATGGCAGCTACACAGGAACTGCCAAACAGGTCATGGGTGCATTTTACAGTGGTTTGAAAATGGAACTCTTACCTAGCTCCTCTGGTCTGTTTTCTCTTGTGATTCCCAAAGGTCTCAGTGTGGTTGGATGAAGATAAAACATGGCTCAGTGTTCAGCTATGGTATACTTGAGATCTCTTGTAAATGAGGAATGTAAACAAGTTGAGTTCACCAGATACAAGCTAATCCTAAATTTCTAGTATTTGCCACCTGGAGATAAAGAGATTGGCTAGATTCTCTGAGCCCAATGATACCAGAGAAATGAAGGCACGCAGTGACTATTAAAGACATGAGTTATTGAGAAAAAGCCTGAAAAACTTGTTTTATTTTGTCATCAGAGGAACATAATTCCACACGGAATAAAGCTAAAAAAAGATCAATGTTCTGCTGGGTTAAGTGACCTTAGGTCAGCCACGTTTCCATGCTGTAACTACTGTGCACTTTGCTGCCCCTTATGTCTCTCTGTTCCAAGGACAGATCATGGCCTTTATCCCCATGGTAAATACAGTACTAGATACTTTGTAGAAATTAAAACTGGCAAATTCCATGTGTTTTATGTCATTTGGCATTCTGTACAAACCCCTTTCAGTTTGTCATAAATTCCTACACCACCAGAGCGAGGTCACATCTGTTAGCAATTTCAGTCTGCCAGATGAGGTGTAATCCTATAAAATCTAACCCATTCTCTCCAGTGCTTGTCAAAGCCGAGCTCTCCTGCTCCTTTTCCATAAGACATACCATTTGCCCTGCAAGCACTGTAGAATGATTTAGGCTGACAAACTTTTCACACTTTAGAAACTGCAATTTTTGGAACACAGCTTTGTATCCAGTACGGTACAAGCAAGAACAGTGTTGGAAACTGTTCGTGATAACAGACTGCGTCTAGATTGTTTTCTTTTGCAAGAGCATGTCCCTGCAGGATGTGCCAATTGTGTTCTTTCCCAGTATTTTGATGTATATGCATCTCATACTCTGAGTAACCTGTCACCTTAGATACTGCGTAACTTCCAAAGAATCCATACGTAGCTACTATTCTGCTTTTCTTTTTAAAATAGTTGTAGCAAAAGTTGCGAGTCTTGGGTAATTTGATATTCACATTGAAGACTGTAAAATATTAGATGCACTAACAAAGTAACAGAACGATGATTAATCTTTGCACACTGTAGTAACTGAAAATAGTTCTAATTCCCAGTAACATGGAGGTTTAATAGTGGTCAGTAGTTTTATATGTTGTTTCATTTTCCATTGTCCCACTGTATCTTGATAACAGTGGTTATGTTGCTGTCTCACCCCCTTTCTTACTTTATGCCTTCAAAGCACTGTATGGAGCTTGGTGATCCCGCCTCTCAAAAGGAGTAGCAAAACAGCATGCTAGTAAGAAGTTTAGGGTTTTTTTGTGAAACTGTGATCTATTATAATGTGTTATTAAATCAAATTAACAGAACTTAGTTAAAAAAATATTATTTCAAGGTTTCCTGCATCTTGCATAAGGATTTCTAGGGCCTGTCTGTACAGGTACATGATGCTGTTTTTTTTCTCTGAGGTGACCAAATTTAAGTATCTCTTGGTATCACATGAATGATACTAAAAAAAACCAAACAGTCAAAACTTAAAAAGCATGTCAGAATTTTAAACAACTAATATTGTTACTCTTAACTATTAAAAATGCAAGCTAAAAGTGGCAGCATGTGAAAATCCACTGCAACTGGAAAGCACTAGCTAGAAATCTCCTTGTCTCCTCTGATTTTTCTCACCTGACTTACACCCTTTTGAACCTCTTTATTCCCAGGGCAAATACCCTGACGTTGTAACACTTCCAGAAGGACTGCAGGGTGATTACATGATCCTTAGGAACCCCAGCGTTTCTGGGTAAGCCAATAAATACGTTTCTTGATTTACACACATAAAGGATTATGAAATGCATATTGACAATCTGCACATAACCGTCTGCTTGAACATTAAGTCGCTCTCTGCTTTATAATGCCTCTAAACAGAGATTAGATGATGTGTGTTGCATTTTAGGGCTATAACCACACATTAAAAACACTAGAAGAAAAAATTAAAAAACCCAGAAATATATGTACAGGCCATGGGCATGTGGCCTTGTTAGGTGGTCAGTCAATTGTATTGCTACTGTGGCTACCCACTCTTTTAAAGCTAAGTGGAAAAAAATGCAGGGCTCTAGCAGGCTTTTCATTTGCATTTGAAGAAAAAAACCAAACCTGTCACTATCTTAGCTCATGCTACAATGAAGAGTCTGAATTCAAAGTTTAGGAACATGGGATGCATCTTCCTTCTCACACATCACAAAACATGTCAGGTTCAGCTTGATTTGTTCCATCTTTGTTTTCTTTTTGCCTTACATGACCAGAGCAATGGGCAGAACAGATGCTGAGGCCAACATCCCTCTTGCTGTGACAGGGTACTGGCAGCTGTCCCCGATGAGATAAAGCAGTATTTTTCCACCCCTGGGCTGGACTTGCAGGCGAAGGCCAGTGTGGCAGCCTGTCAATTCCAGCTCATACTTTCTTCTGTGGTGGGAGGTGCAATGATCACAAATCTCTGAAGCCCAGTTCTTTGGTCTCCTTGCCATTAAAGAATGGAAAGAAAATTGCAGTTACCATGTTACCAAGAGCAACTGTAGCTGTATTTTTCCATTGTTTTAGAAGGCAATCAGTTAGCTGAGGGGATCATTTCTCTGCCATTTAGTAGTAGTAGTATTATTCTGCTGTACATGCTGGGGTTGTTTGGGCTCCCTGGTAGACATGTTCTGGCAGGTTTGGATTTTTTTAAATTGAGTAAAAAAAAAAAAAAAATCATTGAAGTTTCATGTAAGACAATATAATTATCACTGTCAGGAATTCTATAAGGGCCAGGAAAAGTAACTATTTTGTGAAGGGCTCAGAGCATTCCCTTCTATTACATCTTCGCTCTAACATCCATTAATTTATATGTAAACAACTGGAAATAAAGCACAGCTCCTCCATCATATTTGGTTGTGGAACTAGCAAACAAACCATAATAGGTAGTGCTGTCTCGGCACCACAGTGCCAAATCTGCCATTTAAAACTGAATGCTTTAACTCTGGGTTGCTGAAACGAATTGTTGTTAGACCATCACTGTGAGAAAATAAGCCGCTTTATTTTACAGTTTCTCTTTGTGTTTATGGGTGCCAAGTTCCATTCCATGTTTTCTCTCACCCACAATCATGAAATACGGTAATTTAGAAATCACTTCAGCGGGCTGATAGAAAATACCCTTGCATATTAATTTGTTTGCAAAATCCCAGAACAAGCTGTGCACAAATTCTCAAAGGATGTTTAACAATTGAGTGGCAACAGGCTGACAAGTTCTATTTAAAGGAAACTTTTACCATCATGGTTGGTCAAACAACGCTGAGAAAGAGAACTCCCTCCTTGCAGTGACTTGTTACTGTGCAGATCAGCTTTGAATTAGGAAAGCCTTCCTTTTGATAAGGAATACTCCTAAAAGCAGGGATTGGAGGGAAATACAAAATTTAGTAAAGCAGATGGGATGTTATAAAGCAGCAAAACTACTATGAATATTGTCTAGAGTAATCCCTGTGCACTTGTGTATTTCACTAGAAGAACTGTTCCCCTGCAGAAACCAATTTCCTAATTCTTCCCTTAGTGTGGTGCAGTCATCTTGCCCCACTGCCGGAAATAATAATCAGCCTTGCAAAAAAAAAAAAAAAAAAAAAAAAAACCCCCAAAAACACTCTTGATGGAGGAATGATGGTTAAGATTTTTTTTTTTTTTTTAATTAAAAGGAAAGAAATGCAGGAATCTATGCCTTGGGTATATTTATCCCTACATGTTATTCTAAAACAGCTATGAACAGTTTCTTCTGAAACGATTTTCCTGGTTTTATCCTGTATCTAAGTACAATACCTGCCCACAGGGTGCAGGTGTTACATAAGGGCCAGGGCAGGGGGATGCTCTCTTTTTCTTTTCTATCTTACTTTTTACCACTGCACTATTCAAGAGAGACAAAGACAAAAGAATCAGGGGAAGAGTCCTTGAGGTTGAAAATTTGAATATACTTGGAAACGAAGCAGTAACCTTTCCTTGCCACTTGACAACCAGTTCCCCTCAGTTCAAAACATAAGTATTTCTGATTCTCAGAGATGAGCAAGTTGCAGTACTTGAGATTAATTTTATTTAAGAGCATAACGAGCGTGAACCTCCTCAATACTGTACTTTCTGCTTTGAGGAAACCTTAAAGACAGTTGCCTAGTTACACCTGAATAACTTTTCTGTGCACGTGATACAGGTTTGAGTTGATGATTGTTTGGAAGATACATATTGATGAAGAAGGGAGAACTACACCTCTTCTGGACCTTCTGACTAAAGTACCAGAGCAAGGTAATGTCATTCACTCCAGAGACTGTTTCTGAGCTTTCAAGCAGAATGCCTGTCCCCTTCTTTGCCCAACATCTCGTCAGATAAAACAGAAATACATCTTCCAGAGCCCAACCACGCAAACAAATCCCAATTTAACAAACAGCTAAGCTGCACCTCCCCTGTAGTTTACAAGGGCTTACAAAACAAGTATGTCTTCCTCTTCTAGACAGCAGGTAACCAGTTTTACCCAAAAATGCAACACCGACAGCTGCCTTCAGGAATAGTGCAACTGTCTGAAAATAATGTTCATTGTGACATTTTTCTTGCAGTCTTGGAGCAGAAGATGGCAACTCCTGACACTGCACCCGCCTGCTTCCGAAGCATGCTGCGGCTGTTTGGGATCGAGACAGCTATCGAGAACCTGATCAAAGTGGTTGGCTTGGAAAAATGAGTACCAACATGACTTACGACAGGTAGCAATTTCAAAAGTAGTTTTAATTAAGATAATTATGTTACACAGTCTATAATTTTATTGAATATAAACATTAAGTTATTTTCCATTTAGAAACCATACTCGTAAAACATGCTATCTGTACAATTATGGCACGTTATATATAAATTGTCATAACATGAAAATAAATACAGCTATTTAAATACAAAAATGCCAAATAAAATAGTTACATGTACAGAGTGATTTCATTATAAATTTATCTTTCTGAATCATTAATGTACCAGAGTGGTTTATCTTCTTAACATTTTCTAGATACCTGGAAAGTGTTAAAAGATCATGCACTGTCAAAATGAAGTCCAGAAAAATCCATTTCATTTCACAGCTCTGTAAAAGTACAGTGGTTTTAAAATTACAAGAGAACAGTAAGAGACTTCTCTAACAAAGAGTTAAATAGCTTTCTCATTAAATTAGGGTGGAAGTAGACAATCTGAAGATTTCAAAGACATACTATGCTAAAAAAAAGGGTAACTGTATGCAGTAACTTTCTTCCACATGGTACGTGTTGAATAGAGACAGCATTAAACTAAACAAGAAAGGACCACTACACTTCTGTAAAGAGATGGACTAGTTAACTACTGCTCACTGCAGTACTTTGTTTTGATTTCCTACTTCTAGGGGGAAATTCTAGGAGGCAACACATAAAAGCATCACATTTCTTACATTCATCCCTGCAGAAACAAAACAGATTAGACAGATGTCTTGTAATCTTCCTTCACTCCATTGGATGTACCATTAGCTCACTTGTGAACTCTCATCACTTTTCGAGTTCCTGCTCTGCACTAGCTATCGCAACCAACCTCATCCAAGCCAAACTGATACGACTGTAAGTCATGTCCTTCTCAAGTAGGCAGCAGGGGTTGTCGTTCCTGGAATCAAGGGGCCAAAATCAGGAACTGTGGACTCCTCAGTAATACCAAGAGATTTTCTTTTCACGTCCACAGCTGCTCTAACCATGCAAGCAGGCCGCTGCCTGCTCCATTTATAAGTTACAACAACATATTTTATAGCAATGGTGAAATAGGTGAACTACATCAAGAACTAAAGCAACAGTATGTTTATAATACCACAATTTTAATAATCCACAATTTGACCACTGAAATAGTCTCCTACTGTTCTGGTAGGTCAGGAAAAACTGATAATTAAATTAGTTTCTGTCCAAATCTGCAGCCGAGCAACACCAGAGATTAAGTTTTGATGAACAGCAACTCTATAATAAAATATGTTGTTAGATATAAGGCAGACTAATTTCAAGTTTGGAATCCAGGAGACAGGCAAAATTCATTGCTGCTTTATCCACTGACATGATACTGGTTTAGCTAGTTTTGTTTAACCTTTAGTTTATTTCATCTTTAGCTCCTTCTTGCATGAAAATGAAACTTCCGCACTTCTACACACATACACCTCTATTTGCATATGAAATGTGTGTAAAGTTACAGCGTAAGAACCTGAAAACCTTCCAGCCATGGATAGTCCTTGTCCAACAGCTGGATGATTTCTGGAATTAAAAATAACTCTCTCTCAAAAACCCCCGGGTTTTCTTTGGAAAGAAGGGGTTATTGCCACTGTCAGCTGCCAGCTTACTGCACTGTTGCAGTATCACACTTAAGTAAGAGTAGCCCCTGACCCTGGCCCAGAAAGGCATGCTGTCACCTGGAAGTGGAATGCAAGAGACCAATGCAGGTCACTGCCCACAGCGAAGCTCTGTCACTGTGTGAGCGGTGCTACTCTGTATTTCATATTTCTTCCTTGAGTTGTGCCAATATTCACAGGGTTTTCTGGTTTTGCTTTTTGAATTTCAGGTAAAATGGAACAATTCAAACGTTACACACATCCCAATATAAATATACTTTTTAGATGTTAACATTATTTTGAAAAACATTACCAGTAAGCACACCTTGTACCCAGGTAACAGCAGTTCACTGTAGCGTTAATAGCATCTCCTCTGCACGTGTCAGGGTGTGTAAACCCCAAGCACATAGGAAAAGTGGCTGTAGATTTTATACTACCCTCCGTTGCGAATATATCCTCAGTCTCCAACTCAGGACCCTCCTTGAGGATGGCTTTTACTGCAACATCGCACCAGACTTCAGCTGCACGTACCAATGGTACAAAGTAAAGCCATCATTAAATTGCTGAAGTAGTGATACAAGCTTAGCTCCAGTACTGGCCATGAGAAAGTGATCCCCTGCAGCTTCAGAAGAGAAAATCAGATACTGTCACCTTTTTTCTGCATCACTTAAACAGAAGGAGCCTGAAAGCAGCTGCTCATGTTACGCAGTGTGTGGGATATCAGCGAAATAACGCCAATGTTTGACACAATCTGAAAGACCTGAAATAACCTGTAAAACTCAGAATATATTATTCTTACAGCTCAATTTAAATTAGGTAAGATCAAGCTGGGGTTTCACCTTCAACAGCAGCATATAATGTACAGAAAATAAAAGACTGGTATGTCAGATGAGTTAAGCCCAGCTATCACACAGAACTCAAAAGATGCTTACCTTTAACCCTTTTCACTTAGTTTCAGAAGCTTTAGGTAGATACAAGGTGATCACAAAACTTCTGGAGGCAGTCTGGTGTTCCTAATCTCATGCATTAGTACTTACAAGTGTTCTGCAGTAAGACGGTAGTTCCATAGATCAGACTTGAGCAGCCACGTCAGTTGTATTTTCAGTGGACTTAATGCTAAAGTTCTATACTCGGTTCTGTCAAAGCATTCCCTTTTCCTAGTAGGCATGAGTGAGACTCAAAGCACAAGCTCCAAGGCAATTCTCTTGTTAGTAATTAGGCTTTCTATGTTTGTGCAATACTTCAGGAAACCTTTAATTCTGTGCTCTTTTGATTCTAAGGAAGTAGACTTTTAGGATTAATTTCATCTGTCCTCTAGTTCCAAGGTATGGCACATTTATCTGTTCTGTCACATTAGATACATTCATCAAGGTTATACAGCAAATGAATGTTTTAGTGCTAATCCATGTCTTTGAAAAGGCATACCAATTAGAGTTCATTTCTTAGAGCAAAAACATTCACAGCTGAAAAATGCACTGAACACAATAGAAAAAAAATCACCATAATTGTACTCCATTAATCTTTCACTTTCTAATGTGTTTGAATAGAAATAACATTAAGGAAATGGTTACACTTTATGGAGAACTAATGTGCAGTCATCATTCTCCTTGAAGAGATTGGACATAACTGGGTCATCTTTGGCCTGTACATTCTTCAAGTAATAGTTTACTATCTTGCCATCAAGTTTGTACTGATGAGGAATGCTTTCATATGCTTTTAGATCGAGGTCCAGGACAGAAACAGAAAAGGTGAATCTTGATTTGGATGTTAGTACCACAGGTCTTTGCTCAGAGCTGGGGGGGTGAAACAAACCATATTGCAGATCCGTCACTGAAGCTAACATTTTTAATTTGTGTATCCCCAGTCCCCTTGCAAAAGTGATGCTAAAGTTTATCTTAGGACTTGCATGGGAGCCTGCCTAAGAAAATAAATTTCTGCTACAGCAGCATTTAAGAAACCATAGCTCCAGCTTAACCAGTCTTAACCTGAACCAGCTGGCACCTCTTCCAGTCATTTTCCTTTCAGCTTCCACATAGCTTAAGTCAAAACATTACTCTCAACTACTGTGTCTTTGTATTTAGTAAATCTAATCTGTTCCTAGGTGGTCTGCACACAAGCAACAGCCTTACTAACTAGAAGGTGCAGAAAGAATCACTGCAGCTCCTACTTAGGTTCAAGATAATGCAAATTCAGTATCGGAACTAATGTCCAAGCATACTGAAGGATGGAGGACTGAGTTATTATTAAGTCAATCACTGCACAAGTCACCTCCATTATAAAAATTTTATTCAAGAACTGCAAGGCAAATGGAGAAAACATTGTTCACCAAGATCAACAAGGCTTTGGTAAAGCAAACTTCACTACATAAGGGCAGGCTATTACTGCTGACAAGTCAAAATGGATAATATTGTGGCAAAGCCTCCTGCCTTACAGTGAAAGGTGTCACCTCTTGATTATTGCCTTGATTTTATTCTAATTAGGCAATTAAAGGCAACTCATCTTGGAAAATCTCTCATATGAGGACACCAAGGCAGAAAAATTGTACCTCGTTAAAACCATGTACACCTACTAAGAACAGTCAATTCAGATTTCAAGAAGGGAGTAAATATAAAACCTTAACCCTTTTTATCAACTTTTGTCTTCAGAAACAGACATTTGTCCTAAATGTCTTAAATCAGAACTCTACCTTACTAATATGCTCACAGCCAAATATTTGGACACACCCCCTCACCCCCCAAAACACACACACACACACTTTTTAGAAGTTGCTTGAATTGACTGAACCGTGCAAACTCATCTTCAATTTCTACGTGAGTAGGAGTCATTCAAAAGCAGGTCTCTTACCATTCGTCTTGTAGACAGGGTGACAGGGCAATCATGATGGAGCAGTCTTTGGCAGTCATTGCTATTCTGTACTGCTGCACCTGTGCAACATAGAAATAACAAATTTATATTGGTATTTGCCTCTAGTGAAGCATACTGTTCTTTCTAAAAGGCATTACTATACTCAGTGTATTAGCACTTTAAGAGCTGGGAATTCTCTCTGCAACAGAGGGTTTGCAGGAGCAAGTGGTTTTACAGCATCCTGTACAAAGAATCATGTTTATTTCCTACAGATAACTTTTCTTGAAGGCCAAAACAGCAACAGTCCATGCAAATGCTTCCTCAGTCTAGAAAGGCAATAACAAGCTTTATTTTTCTCTCAAGAACTGGTGCTTGGTTTTGACTGCTTCTGCTAGAAAGATACACCCTGGCACAACTAAGAACTTCAACTGCACAGGCCTCTGACAACCCAGTGGTGATGCTAACACACCTTCCATCCGTTCCAGTGAGACAAGTGTTTATTAGAATTGACAGACTAAATAAGCTTCAACAACATGCACAGGAAAAGTACCTTTGTTAACGCAAATGCTACCGTCCCATCATCTTCAGTTGAAAGATCTAGCAGCTTCTCATAAAATGCTTCATTGTACGGTCCATCTATCTGTAATGTACTTCTAAATAAATTTTAAAAGAAGATTTATAGAGAGCAAGATGATTTACTGGTTTTCAGCGAGATCTTTCTTCAGCAGCCCAGATACTCAGATTAGAACAAACCAGCAATAACACCGATAAACATGGCAACAGGGTGATACTCAGAGATCTAATACCATGACCAGTCCCCGTTATCCTCATATCCCTCAAGACTTGCTGCTGCTTAGGATTTGAGTTGTGTTTTTTATAGATTAATTGTTCTTAATCCACCAGAACCTGTGTATCACTACAAGTACAGCATTTTTTTGCAAAAATGAGAGTTTCAAAATTTGTTACAGTTTGCAGGAACTCCCAGTAGCCTTGCTGAAAACATTAGGGGTATAAACTTACCTGACAAGGCCCTGCTCCATCCCCAGCTTCATAATATGTGCTAACAAGGCGGTGGTCTATTTGGCCTCTTTCCTTCCCATGTTAAATACCTGAACTCCTGAAAAGCTGAACCAGTAAAAGTGGGGTTTGCAGCACACAAACACTCCACAGATGAAAGAATATGTTTTCAAGTATTTGTTTAATGTATAAACATACAAGTAAGGCACACTGCGAGCGATTTAAACAGCTGCCCAGAAGATAACCCTTCAACTCCAAGGGGAGCCCAAAGCTGAAGGAGCACAAGCAGCAACGTCTTGCAAGTGAAGCCAGAGTGCCCTCGCGTGAGCAACGGCAGAATCACAGGCAAGCTGCAGCCCGAGAATGTAAGCGGCATCCAAGGGTTTTTACCGCAACTACTGTTACAACTAATGAGCTTTATTTGAGAACAAATGTAGCAGCTTGCAATGCCCAGTATTTCTTCATCAGGCAGGATATACCATAAGATAAAGATTCTTGTGCCTCAAGTGTGATCAGATCCCTTGTGATGTGGGTTACAGCCTGGCATTCGGAGCTATTCTCATCACGCAACAAGGGCAGGCTGGACAACAGCACATTCACACCTTCTGTAAGATCTTGCAGGCACAGGCTGGATTGCTGCTGAATATCAAATTCAGGCTTTTAAGGGGCAGGTTGTAGGAAGGCCAATGCAGACCTGACAATGACTGTAAAAACATCATTATTACCACAGACATAGCTGTAGCTCTGCAGCTGCTGAAGGCAGGAGAAACCAACCATCCCTTTTAGTGTATCTTTCCTCAAGTGTACAATCTCCACTGCTAAGGGACAGGGCATTTTTCTCTGTGGCCCTGTTGTGAACTTCCCATAATCATTATTTAAAAATCTAGGTCAGAGTGACGACATCAAAACTTTTAACAATAAAACTCAGCTTTTATTTTATTTGGCATTTCAAGTCAGAAATGAAGAATATGCAGTACCACAAAGGAAGGTTGTATACAACATAACACAAGAGAGTGTTTGCATAGAGCCAATCATGTCTGCCTACCTCCTTAATCAGAACGGAAAAGAAAAGCCATCAAGCCTTACCTCTCTTCAGGAAATTCCTCTAAGTACTGTTCAACTCTGCTGTACAAAGGATAGAGTCCTTCAATGTCCAGCATGTCAAGCATCTGAGCCTGAAGGATTTTATAAAGGAGACAACCCCGCGGTAAGCCAGAACTTTCCATTTTATGTTTACCTAGAAGAAAAGGTATTTTCAAATGAGGCAGACATGAGCATCGTCTTTGCTTCACTTTGCCATTACATGGGCTTGTTCACAAAACAAATCCAGACACTTCAGACCAGTCACGGGGTGGGGGTGGCAGGGAACAAACCAAAACACCTCAGTTTCCAAACACTCACGTGCCAAGTGCATGTACTTACCTGCACATTTAAACAGCACGTATTTGACCGCAGAATAAAACACTTGGTATACAATGCTGCCACTCTACTCAAAAAAAACCCACCCCAGCCACCCAAAAGCACACTTCCATTGCCATCTACTTGTTTGAGTCTACAAGAGAAATTTTTCATCTGAGTTTGAAGCCACCACAAATCCACTTTCAACAGTATGAACTGTTGGCAGAAAGTAATTTAGCATTTCAGAAATCTTGCCTTTTTAATATAGTATAAACAGATTTGTATTTGCTATCATTTCTGTACGACAGCTCTTTCTCCACACAATACAACAAAACCAACCAACAATGAAAAAGATCTTCCTCAAAAGCAGAGTAAGAAACTAGCAGCATCTTGAATAATTAGAGCTTTACAAAACTTATGCACTGAAGAATTAACATTATTTACAGTTTCCCAGCTCTCACTTCCCATTCCTTTTCCCTCCAGTATTGATACCTTTCTCTGTACCAAGAGAAGAGTAGTAGAAAAAAAATAAATAAGTAAATAAGTTAGTTAATTAATAAAAAAAGAGCTACACCCTAGCTGGCGAGTGCTGGCAGGAGGAGCAGGGAAAGGCAAGAAACAGGTGCCATGTAACAAACCAACCAAAGCAGCTTCATACAACATAAAAATTCCCCACTCATTTGAAATACCTATGATGGTTATCAGCTCAAACCAGTATTTTCTCCTATTTTCCCTTTACCACCTTCTGGATTTATTTTTACCTGTCAGTAGGTACAGTGCCAAAGTGCTCACTATAAGGTCATATTAAAAACAACTAGCTAGCAGTTATGCAGCTTAGAATTTTTAAATGTCACTAAAACTCCACTGTTTCCATTCTCACAGCAGTATTAAACAGCAAACTAGAGGCAAAGATCTGAATAGTTACGTGATAACAGTTAATTATTGACAGTGCTCACAAAATTATTTCTTACCATTTCTTACCAGCTCCTTATTAAAAGCACTTGCTTCACAGTAGCTTCTGCCTTGTGAAACAGGAATTGTCTTCATATCACCTGCCCTGCAGGCATCAGTGCTACTTAGTAGCGTCATAGTTATAACATGGATTAGTTCTTTAACAATTGTCCTTGTACAGCGTGGTCCACTGACCAACCCATTGGAAGGAAAAAAGAAAGGTTTTAAGTGACGAGCAAGTTCGTTCCAGTCAGAGACACAGTCCTGGTCATCTTTACATCCATAAATTAGTTCCCCATTCTGCAAATGAGAAAAAAGAAAAAGGGATTTAGGCACTTCATGAAATCCAGTTAATCATACTTATCAAAGCATCAGATTTAATATTTTTAGGCACAGAAAAGTGTTATTAGTTTAACAGTCTGCATACAAATACACACATTCCCCACCTCTGACAAACTTGCCCTCTTAAGTCAGATACCACAGGTAACAACCACCTGTGAATGAGGACCAAACAGCCCATTTAAATCAAATGCTACTTTACCAACTTAATCAACTGTAAGTAATCAGAACAACAGAAGTGAACAGATACTTAGCACATTTTCCTGTCCCTTCATTCTGATTAATATCAATAGTGAAAAAGCACCATGGGAAACAACCTTCTTTTAAAAGCCAGGCTGGAAAACAGAAGGCTAAAAAAGGGACAGAAAAGGTGTGATAGTTACCTGTACTAATAGAAAAAACAGGGCAGTTCGTACACATTTAAGTAATTCAAAAACTTGGTTTAATACTGGAAATAAGCTGTAAAGAATATTATTTCCTAGAATTAATATGAAAGTCAGCATAAGCCACCAGTTACTGCTTTATCTTTTTCCTACAGTAATGCCACAGAAAAGGTAACTTTTCACTTGCTCAGTGAGGCACTCTGTGCATTTGGCCTGCGTGAATGCTGTTAACAGTAATTCAGAAAATATTGGGAGCAACATGCAACGTTCTCGATCTTCTTCCTCCTGAAGAAGCACATAAAGTTTTAAAACCCTGGTCATCTTTAAAAGTCCTTTTCTTTTGTTGTTCATTGGTGGTTCTTTCAGACTAATTAGATCTGGGAAATTACTATTTACCTGTCCCAACTTGAAATCTAACTAAGAATCACAGAACTTTTGCATTTTCTTCTTTTAGTGGGGTCAGATAGTGCTGGTGCTGATCAGGTAGGTTTGAAGTAGGGTCTTGACTGTTCGGGTGCTGAAGTCAAATTGTTTAAAAGCCAAGGCAAAAAAAAGCAAGCAGAGATATGTGATCGTTTACCTTAAATATTTTCAAGTTGTTCTGTGCCTCCTGTAATAAGCTCTTCAAAGCAAAATGCATTCTCTGTTTATTTCTAGGGGAGGAAAAAAAAAAACTAAGAATGTTTTATCACAGCCTTTAGATGTTTCCACCCATGCCTCCATGCCTGCAGGGATCTATGGAATCAGAACTGGCACCTGAAGTGAACACAGCTATTAAGCATGTTACTCACGCCAAAGTCACTGTGAAGACAAAGTAACTACTGGCAATTAGAACTTCAAACTCGAGTAAAGTAAACAGCTCTTAGGTTTAATGTTGCCTTAGCAAAAGGCACTGGTACATTAATGAGCAACTGATTCCTGAAATAGGTGTGAAGAGGTATATAGCACCAGAAATACTCCCTGTAGAAGTTAGACAAGCAGGCATTGATCATCCTTAATACTACAGTGAAAGTCACAGTAATCTGAGAAAGAAATGTGCAACAAATTTTCTGGCAAAAACACAGAATCAAGTTACACACTTCCTTACCCTGAGAAGAGATCCAATGGGCAATATTTACTTGGTCGCTTCCATTTTCCATTCGCTACCTGTTGAAAAGCCACACCACTGCTGTTAATCACTCCTTCCGGAATAACTACTCCCAGTTATCTTAATAGTCAGGTGTGTGGCACTAACATCAAAGTCCCACAACATTTAAAACCTCTTGAACATGAAATTCATGATTACTATGGGTCTTCCTAATCATATTTAGCTCAAGTCACTCAAACTGCATTCATAAATGGAAAGCATGGAGAAAGGTCATGTTAAATTACAGTTATACACACAGTTACGTGGTTTCAGACACACAATGGACACCAGTCAAATGAACTCGTGTGTGTTACATGATGTCCTAAGTTACAAAATGCCACCACGCATTTGGTGAACTGTACTTGAAAGGAAATTTGACACAAGAGTTTACCCAATCATCAGCATTAATAGTCTAAAAGACCAATACTGTGTTTGTTTGCTTCCAGCTTCTCACAGAACTTGTTCCATCTCTCACTAAACAGATTCACACCCAGCAACTCAGACATGTATCCACCTACTATCTTTAGTCACATCAGAGATTTAAGCAAGTTTCAACAGGAAAACCGAGACTGGAATAGCAAATACAGCACAGTACACAGGAAAGCAGGATGACTTAAAAAAAATTACCTTTAGATGCTGATGCATACAGAAACGACACACCTTGTGCTTTATCTCCTGTGACACATGGCTGGAAAAAGGAATGAAGCCACACTTTGGCTGAAACAAACAAACAAACAAAAGATTATAAATTTATTTCTTTATAGAAATATAAGGGCATACAATGTGCAAATCTTTCCAGTTAAAAGAAAATTAAAAAAAAACCAAAAACAAAAACAGTCAACATAAAATGCTTAAAAGCTGTATATTCCCAATTACTTAGAGGCCTTGCTTAAGAAATAAGGACACACGAAACTGCTGTGGCCTACAAAAAGGCCTGGTAATACCTGGGAATTTCCCATATTTTGAAAGATCAGGAAGTGGAAGAGGGAGGAGGGTATTTCATCCTGTAGGTCCCAGTGAAAGCAGTGAGCTCTGTCTTATCCCACTGCCACACTCCTTTGACACTGCTCTGGTCCGTACGTACTTAAAAGGTGCGAACAAAACCCCCAGAAGGATTTTCTCCTGTTCGGTACCTTAATCTCTATGCAGAGGATTGGCCGGTGTTCCATGAAACGGTAAGTCTGCAGCCTGGTAATATTAGGAAGGCACATTGCATAACCACTAAGAGTGTCCATGTCTTTATCACAGCGAGACTCTGTGGAAAACAAAAAAAACACCAACACAAACAAGAAAATGAGGAAATGAGGCCTGTGGATGTTTATTTTACTCCGTACACAGTTATCTTGTTCACCAGGTGGGGGGGGGAGCAAACTCAGGAAGACAGAACAGGGTTTAGCAGGCTTTAGCCAATTATGCACTGGCACAAATTTGCCCTCCCCATTACCAACACCTGTTTTCAGTTTCCTCAAAACTGCCAGAGGCACAGAGTGCCTCAAGAGCTGCTCTGACCAACCAGCTCCAGCTCCTCCCAAGAAAGGTGTCAGTGAGAGGCCTGAAACAGCAAGGAGTGCATTCAAATGGCCAGCAACAGGTAAAGAGGCTTCCTACTGCGTTCAAAGACGTGATCTCGTGTTTGCTTACTGAAACTGCATGAACTACCATCCCTCAGTCTAGTCAAGAGGAATCTGTGAAAACTGGCAGAAATATCAAACTGTCCAGAAGTTCAGGAGAAAGTACAAATCTAAAAAGAACCTGCAAGTGGCTTCACTGAACTCCTTACTCTGTACGTAATCCCTTCCTAGCCATTCCAGTGTTTACGTCAGAATAATAAGCAGGTGAAAAGGAACACTGAAGGAGCAAAAGTTAGCTTCCCCCTCTTCACAAGCTCACAATTTAGAACAATTCTAAATCGTCTGCTAAGACCACCCTTTTAAAAAGAGCAGGTTTTAATATAATCCTGAGAAGAAACAAAGTAGCAAAATGGTTTCAGACTAAGAGGCATTATATAGAGAAAGCCCTTAAATAACTTCCCTCCACATGCATCCTTTGGGACAGAGAAAGGTCTGCGAGATTTTAATTCAAATTTTACAAGACATACACTCCTAGATTTTGAAATATCTGTGTTACTAACGAGACATACAGAATATATGTGTTCTGTTATAGCTTCCCTTGCTAAGAAAAATGTCCATTCTGAAAAATGAATTGCAATATGGAAAAAAAACAACTCAGAAACTGAAACCTCATTAGGCATCAGCCTGCAATTACAGGCTATACTTCACTAGGATAAGCAAGAAGAAACTTTTTTCTCCAACAAAATGCTGGGGTTTGTTTCCTTTTTCTAAACTTAAGCAAAAGTGCATCCACATTCAGCTGAAAGCCATGTGCCAAATCAGACAGACCCAGAAATCCGAAGTATTACCGAAGTCCCTTCATACATCAGCCGGGCGTACATAAAAGGCAATATTAAAGGAAATTCTTTCCTTGCGGTTTAACAAAAATTCCAGTTAAAAATGAACAGTGAGATTTGCTGTTGTAAAGCACTTGGACAGCTCCTGACCACCAGATTTCTTCCTCTAAAGAAATCCCCAGGAGCAATGGACACACAAAATTTAACTTTGAGAAACAGAACTAAATTCTGTCATTCACTTCTACCAGAGTATCATCGATTTTGTAACTTTTACTAGACGCTATTTACTTTCCTTGCTGATTCTGACACTGTGGAACTGTTTCTCAAAATGGTGAGGACAAGTCAGCAATACAGAGTGTCCTGTGCTCACTATATGCAAATTAATTCCATTTTTTCCTGGATCGAAGGCATCAAAGTACTGGCTACAGTACTTTGATTTAGTACCACATTTTTCTTCAAGAAACTTTGCTAGAGCGGGAGTTTCTGGCTGTTCTCAAGAACACTTGAGAACATAAGATGAACACACCGTGAGCGACATCTTCTCTTTGCCTACCTTAGAGTTTACCCCTTACTGCACTTTTAGCCATATATGAAGAACGATGCACCCGAGTGTTGCTGACTAAGAGTGACGACACCAAATTCTGTAACGCTTCACATCACGCTGAATGCATCAGAGATTGCCAAACATCAAGTCTCGCAGCACGTTCCAAAAGGTTTCACAAAGTCAGTGCACCCTTGGCCCCTTCAATCCCCACCCCGTCCAAGGGGGCTAGAAAAACGTACTTGCACTTCACCTCGGACAGGGACCCCAGAGCGCCATGTCAGAGCTGGGAGAAATCAAGCACAGCCTCATATCCCAGAGACAGTCACTAAACTTTCGATGCAGCACAGTCTGTAACACCACAACCCCTTGCAGCGAGACATGCCAGCAATCAGGAGAGAGACATGAAAAGCTGGAAAGTTGCTGTGGCTCATAAGGTGCAACATGCTTAACCCCAAGTGAAACACTGACACTGAAAACAAGATAGTTTAGTGTGGAGTTTCTGAAACTATCTTCCTTCCAATGCTCTGCTGCACAGTCAAGGAGAAGAAACTGATGGAATTGAAACAATTATTTCAGGACATATCCTCCTCACTGACTTTGTAAAGGACTTCACAGCAAGGTGAAAGCTTGTTCAAAAATGATCAAACACAGGCTTAAGAGGATCCCTTTCCCCAATTTGATGCAACTAATATCAGATGCAACTTTTAGTTCTAGAACACACCCATTTTTTCACAACAAATTTTCAACTTGTCATTGTCTAAATATTAAAAAAAAAACCAAACTTGCCTCATATTCTGAGGTATGATGCTTTTTTACTTTATAATAAGGCAAAATGTGTTACAGCTTGAGGAAGGCTCCCTTTTTAATGCAATCCCTGGCACTTACCTGGCCTCTCTGGCTGAATCTTTAAACAGAGCTGTCTTACGAAATCTAAAGGCAGTTGAATAATTTCCTAGTAAAAAAAAAAAAAAAAAAAAAAAGAAAAGAAAAAAATTTCATACATTTTAACACAAAAATTAATACCCATTTGGGGGGGGGTCTTAAATGGAATTCCAAAGTTCAGTGAACGTTAACAGTATATACTATACAGTCAGCAGCTTCTCCCTCTGGTTAACCACCTATATGAAGGCTGTACCTGCAATCACATGCAAGACTTACTCCACTATGAAAACCAAGAACTAATTTAAATAAATGCAAGAGAAAGAGCATTTTCAGTGAAAATTTAACGTGCAGGAAGAAACCTGTATCATTTTGTCCTTTTCACAAATGAGAAAGCCCCATTTCATCCTGCCCCATGTCTCACAGAATGTGTAACAAGGTCCAGGAGAAGGTGTCACTTTCCCATTCGGGTATCTGATGTTTGGGTAACTAGATCTGGCTGCCCTGAAGAACAGAGTGATTGGCAAGGAAAAAGGTTCCTTCTGACTGCATGGAAACCTAGACAAGTCACTGAACCAGATTTCTCCCCTTGTTTTGCAGTTAGTCTAAAAATACCCCTCTCTCACACCTCTCCCCTTATGCAGGGCAAAGAAATGACCACTCTTCATTAGCAGCTTGAAATAGCTCCAGCCACAGAGTACAATCCAACCACCTCATCAGCACAGAGGAAGAGCTTTGTTCTGACCCAAATGCTTCTTGGGCATGTGCATCTTGCTCAGGAGTATCTGCAAACCCTATTAATTCCTTTTACTGGCACTCAGTGTTCCCCAAAACACTCCAGTGTTTACCATGCATAAGCCATTTATTTTAAGAATAAAACATTTACCCCATGGTGAACATAGTTCTCCCCGAAGAACTGCTTCATGACATGTTTTCCAAAGTCTACAATGTTTTGCAGATGGTGTAGTATCTCCTCTGAAGTCTGAAAGACAGATACATGGTAATTTTACAATGAAATAATGATAAACAACACTCAAGAACACAAACACACACTAGTCAATGAGTTAGCAAAGTAACTTAATTTCTGCACTGAGTTTGGTAGGTCAGTGCACCTTGAAATTAGACACATGAAATGTGTGCTCTATTTGTTTCCCTGCTGCTGCCTGAGAGGCTGGGACAACCATGAAAATGGTCAGAAGATACAATTCATCTTAGTAAATTTCAGGGGAAAAAGGACAGAGAAAATGAAAAAGGTAGAAGTCGGGGAGATTACTCAAAATCTACTCTGTCTTTGACCACTATTCTTAAAACAGCTCAAAGAACTGTAATAGTCAAGAGGTGCACAGCATGCCTTCTGACCAACGGGTGAAAAGCAGGAGAGGCTTCGAGCGTTACAAAATACATCACTTGGAGATTTGGAAGAGAGTGGCTTCAAAGACTGAGCCACATCACAAACCTTTGCATGAACAGGTACAGAATTTGCTGTCTGTCCCAAATCCTGCCCCAGACAATGAAAATTTTAATAATAAATTTAATGATTTCATGTTATGTGTCTACAAGGAAACACCAAAGTTATTCCACAAGACAAAAATGCCAAGCTAGACAGAAACAAAGCTAAACAAGTACTGGAAGCACGCAGCGACATTTGCATGGTCTGAATTACAGGCTTCTGCTCATTGAAGAGGTGGCAGAGCAGCTTCACAACGATATTGTCCCATTCTCAGCACTCCTGCATACTCTGGTTCCCTGCATGGTATTTTACTGCAACAACAGACAATCTCCAAGCTCCCATGTCCTTTCGTATCACAAAGCTTTTCTGGAAAAACACTACCTTGCCTACCATTGTACACTATAAAGCACTGAACCATACAGATTTACTCTTGAGATTAAGTAACAGTGGAGGAAGAGAAAGTGCAACACTCATATCCAAGTTAGAAAATCAGAGAGGAAAAACAACACAAGCAGGAGAGAAAAAAAAAAATAGAGCAGAGTAAGAGAAAACAAAATGCTCAGAGGACAACACTCAGAGAAAGGAGGAAAGACATCCAACAGGAATTAAAAATCATTATAGGTAAAAGGAGATGATTGTCACTAACCAAGCAGTCTTACTAACTTTGTTTTAGAATACCATCATAATATGTAGATTCTTTTTCTACCTGGAAGGCTTTGTTACATAACAAACTTACAAAAGTTGTGGAAGACTAAGAAAGCTTAGTTTGTTCCTGTAACACAGGTCTGCCAAGACTGTGTTTAATATTCCTCCTCTAGCAGGATTCATTTTCCAGACTGAAGCAGTAATACACAATACTGCAATAATGCTTTACAGAAAGAAAAGTCACTTCAGTAACATACATTACTACACGCTTGTTCCCGTAACATACAGTACGGCATACGGTTAGTTCAGTATGTAAAACACCCAATGCTTTGGAGCAAGTAGGAACAGTACAGTCTCTCCAAAGCACTTACACAGCATTTCCATCACTCTGTAAAGGCCAGGACAGTGCTTATTCTTTAAAATGCTTGGCATATTGTACATGGAGATGTTTCTCAGAACAGCTCTCCCTGAATCCTTTTGAGAGCACCAAAATAAGCTTGGAGTCTCTTCACAACAGGCAATCTTCCCCTGCTTGAGTCTTAGAACAAAAAACACACTATGATGCCTGAATAAATTTCTCAGTTGCAGTGATTTGGTCTAAAGGAGTGCATTTAAGAAAAAATAACTAATAGGCAACAAGATGTGTGAGCAGGCCACCAACGTGGGTACACAAAAGGACATTTTACAGCAGTGCTGCTCGATCTGTGCTCCCCAGGAAGGCCAGTGCCCCCCTGCTAGGGCTGAACGCACCAAGATCAGTCAGAGGACCCTGCCCAGCCCAGGCCCCTGCACTCCTCGACCAGAGGGCAGAGGAGATCACCCCTGGGGAAATCCCTGCTCCCGCCCTGACAGGCTGCAAACACACTGTATCCACCTTCATTTCATTTGTCCCAGGCTGAGGAAGAAGTTGTCGCTTTGCAGAGGGGATACAAGAAACAACTAACAGGCTACAGAGCATCACCTTGCAGCATGAAAAAACGCTAAGACAAAAAGCTTTTGAAGGACTCGTCATTACTGCCAGTTCATTTAGCAAAACACTAAAACTCAAATAGGTTCTATACAATAAAAAGGCAAAAAACTCATTCATGCAGAAGACTCATATACTAAAGTCAGCAATACACAATTAAAATCATTCCATGAATCCTGACACTTGACTTTCTACTCAAGAAATGCAAGGCCCAGAGTTACACTATTGATTAGGAGTATTTTTCATTAAAACACTTAATTGTAACAATAACATTACAATCTGCAATAACACCACCTTGTTTAACTACTAGAGTATCTAGTCCTAAATTTGTAATCAAACAGTATAAATACAAAGTGACGACTCTACCTTTTCCAAAAGAGTTAAGCAGAAGAGACTGAGGTGCATTTGTCCACATCTGCATTTCAGCATGTGTCTTGCTGGAAAATAATTTGCTTCAACTGCTTCTTTCAGAGCTGTTTACATCAGATGAGCTACAACGTCATGCTCAGATATGTAACACTTTATATCCTAACTCATTGCACTAGTCAGGAATACAGATTACACCTAAAAAACATTTTCTCTTTTACAGCTGTCATGTTGCTACAGCCAAGTTTGTCCCCAAAACTCTGATTCTCCAGGACTTGTTTACAGATCTGAAGATAAAATATTTAGTTTTCCATTCTGCTCCAAGAAAAACTGATTCTTTAAAAAAAAAAAAATATCAATCACTGGAATAATTAAATATTTCAAATTACAAAATCTTCTATTTAGAGGGCAAGGCCAGAAGGAACTGCACATCACAAAGTCCGCACAATCACAATGCAAGGCAAAGGCAGTGCTGGAGATGGCCACAAGCCAGCTCTCCTCAAAAACGTAACACTTCCACATGTAACAGAGCGTTTGCTCTGGTAGTGCACATTTATCAGTCTGGAGCATGAACTCAGAGACACTGTTTGAAGCACTTTCAGAGGTGCACCCCGCACTGCGTGCATCCCCAAATGGCCTTTTTGCTGTTACAGTGGTAAGAGCAGCAGCGTGCCTGCCTAGGGCAACTCTGAAGGGAAGTTTTGCTAACCGTTGCGAAAAAGCAAACTCTTGGTGCTCCATCGGCCACAGCCCACAGGAACACCTACTGCCACCTACCTCTATGCTTGGTAGGATTCTGAGCACTTTTACTATTCTGATTACGCAGGGAAATAAACATTCAAGAACCTGACCAGCATTCAAATACTAACAGAACACCACGGCCAGGAGATTTTTCCTCTTTTGTTTTACTATCCCAATCCAAAAACGGATACGTGTGCCTACGCAGTCCACAGAAGTATTATCAACTTCAACGCTGTGGTGGGTAACTGTGCAAAGTCACTTCCTGGCTCCCTTTGCAACTTCATCATACTTTGTAATTTTTTTTAAAAACAAGTACTAAGCAACAATTTCTTTGGACTTAAAAAGAAAAAAAAAAAAAAGGAAAAAAAAAGGAAAAAAGCTGGTACTTAGTGTTTTGTTTTCTTAAACAAATGGCAATAGACTGACTTTTTACTTGTGGTCTAACTCTCCCTTGCTAAATTAAAAATCGAGATAGGCACTGTCTTCCAATCCACTGGGTTCTTCCCTATTCTTGCAGCAACTCCAAAAATTATCTTGGACTACTACAGATGTGCAGGATACATTTTTGAAATCCTGCCACTATAAGCAGACCAAAAACTTACCTGAATCACACTTTAGTTTTACCAGTCTTTTTTTTCAAGAAAAACAGTAGCAGAAAGGTCATCAAGTAACTTTTACGTGCACTATGTTCATGGGTTTTACCTTCCTCTGCTTTCCTCTGATCTTCTTTAGAAACTTCTCTTTTGTCCTTTGTTAAACTGAACACATTACACATTCATCTTCCTGATTTAAAGCAAAACACCCTTCCTATACATTCACCTTTGTTTCTTTTTTCTTAATTTAAGCACTCACTCCAGCTCTCAGAAACATAAAAAGTGTTATGGCTACGCTTTCGCATCAGGACA